CACTCAAGCATGGGGACTCACTCCACGATTATGTTAAAGAATTTTCAGCCCTTACCTTGGAGATCACGGACATGTCCGACAAGGATCTACTGTTCAACTTCATGGACGGACTGAAGCCATGGGCCGAACTAGAACTCCAACGCCGCAACGTACAAGACCTCGCCACGGCAATGGCARTGGCGGAGCAACTCATTGAGACCAGCTTGTCAGATGAAGAAGCCCCTAAGCTAGAAAGCCCGCGTTCCCCTAATTTGAGTGGGGGAGCAAGTCGCTCACGCCCTCCGTACGACAACTCCAGCTTCAACAAGCTAGCAAGACAAGACTATGGGAAGAAGCCRCAAGGAGAGCAAGGCCCTCATCACCATTACAAGCCCAGAACCGCTGGGTCCCCAATTTCTTGCTTCCTTTGTGGAGGAAATCACTTGGTTCGCAACTGCCCAACCAAGAAGAAGATCAATGCCCTTGTYRCCAAGCTCAGTGATGACRAGCAAAGTGATGAGGAAAAGTCTGTGCAGGCGCCAAGAGTGGGCGCCCTTCAACTCTTCAACGCCATGGTGAAGAAAGAGGCCAATCATGGAAGGCCAAAGAAAGCCCAAAGGGGGCTGAAGTATGTAGACATCCTCCTCGGCGGGAAGCTGACTCAAGCCCTTGTTGATACAGGGGCCTCCCACAACTTCATTTCAGTTGCTGAGGCCAAGCAACTCAATCTGAACACTATGAAAGAGACGGGGTGGATCAAGGCCGTGAACTCCGGGGCAAAGGCGATTGAAGGCATGGCTCGTGGGGTTGACCTCCAAGTTGGACCGTGGACAAGCAAGATTAATCTTTCAGTGGTACCCCTGGTTGACTTCCGAGTTGTCTTGGGAATGGACTTCATGAGACAAGCAGAAGCAGCACTCCTGCCTCACATCAACTCTCTGTGCATCTTGGACGAGCGCTCTCCTTGCATGGTACCAGTTACGACTTCTACTAAGGTTCATGGGAAGCAAGTTTCTGCACTACAACTTTTTCACAAAGAAGCCTTGTTCAATGCCAACATGAAGGAAGCAGAGAAGTTCCCCACTCCACTAGCTGAAGAAGCCGCCCCTCAAGCCAACAACTACAACAGCAGCAGGAAGCAGCAGGCCATCCAACCGTCTACACCTCTCTAGCAACAGAGTTCGTGCGCGTCGACAACCGTCAAGCAAAGCAGAAGACCCAAGGCTGTGTCCAAGTTCGCCCCGACCTACTACCACAACCACAGGGGAAAGCGAGTGCCACCCAAGCCGTCTAGGGACCACTTTCGCACCATCCCTCAGACTGAATCACGTAGTAGCCTTGTGAGTCACTCTTGGGGAAAAATCAATGGGAACCAACACCCTAACAATCCAAAAGACCATTTTGACCCATCCTTGGCCACCAACTTTCCTACCACCATCAGGAACAAGTCAAAATCCTACCTTGAAGCAGCCAAGCAGGGACTTAACTTAGGGACAAGCCATAGGTTTTCCCACCATCAAGAACATCCACTAGCAATCTACCCAACCAACTATCTGGGCCTTGGAAGAAACYCGGTTCGTGGAGCARTCRAAGAACCTTCCTTCACCAACAACAAGTTCAAGCCTCAAGCAGAAGCTAGTCTTCGAGGACGAAGACTGAATTGAGTGGGGGAGACTGTAACAAGTGTTCTCTTCGTCGCGCCATCAAGTGCCAACCACCGTGCCTACAGCCGCCACTCCAGCGTCCAAGCGTGTGTCATGGGTGGGCTATGCTTGTACTTTTGTATGGGGGATTGCCAATGGCATTATTGTAATATTGTAGTATGCTTTTTCGCCTTTTTGATGTTTCTTATTGTCACTCCCCCAAAAGCTTAACGTACTCTTTGAGGGGAGGTAGGTAGTCGAGTGAGCTCATAAGCATGTAAAGGTTAAGCACGAGATCCCCTCGACACTGTACTGTGTGCTTGTGCTTACCACTGATTAATGCAATACAAACAGCCTTTTGCTAATTCGTGTGCCATCTTGTTGCCTTTTGTGTGTGTTTGCTTTGTTTCGTAGGCTTACTCGCCCATTTCGAGTGCCGCACGGGGCCCCAACGATTACCCCCGTGATAGTTTGGCATACGCTCTGTCAGTTTCTGTGCCCGTGTTAAGGAAGTCTTATTTCCTCTTCAAGTTTGGGTTTAAGGCTTTAAGCCGAGCTAAGCTACCTAAAGGCTAGACCTGTTCATGGGCTGGGCCGGGCCGGGCTTTTTTTTCATCATTAATGGAAATACGCTAGGTCCGAGCCCGAGCCCGAGCCCGGCCCGACCTAATAAAAAAATTACAATTTTCCCTATTCAAATTAGAATTAAAAATTCATATGGTTTTTTTTCCTATTTAAATGAACAATGGGCCTACAAGATGATTTTTTTCCCTTTCTTTTACGTTTTAAAACACAGTTTTACGTCTTAAATCAAAAAAGTTATTCAAATGGACATAATCACATAGCCCATTTTAAGTCTAATTTTAGGTCGGGCCGGGCTATTTTGACAAAACCCGAGCCCGGCTCGAATTTATTGCAGGTCGGGCTTTTTGGCCCGAGTTTAAGCCCGTGGGCCTATAAACATGTTCAAACCCGTTCAGGGGCCGGGCCAGGCCGGGCCGGCCCGTCGGGCCACCCGGCCCATGGACAAGTCTACTAAAGGTTAGGTAGACCAGTTCATGTTCCGGGCCGGGTTTTGTATATCTATCAATAGAATACACTAAGAACCGAGTTCGAGTCTGGACCCGACCATTGGGCCTAAGTCTTGAGCCTGAGCCTGGCCTTCATATAAAGCCCAAAGCCCATGCCCAAGCTTGAGCCTGGCCAGAAATTTGAAAACAGGAATTTTTTTCTTTTTTTATTCAATAAAAAGTGTTTTATTTATATTAAAAACCTTCGAAACTCAAAAATAATAAACATCTCATTATTACTTGGAAAAAAAGAGAAGAATAACAAAAAAATTATAATATATATGTTTATTTATTTATTAAATAAAAATATATTTTTATTATTTAATATATAGTATCAAGTCGGGCTCAGGCTCGGGTCGGGCTTTTTTGAGAAAGCTCGAGCCTGGCCAAAAAAAAAGTCGGGCCCGGTGCTTTAGGCCTGAGCCCGAACCCACAGGCCTAAAACTATGACCAAGCCCGATTTAATAACGGGTCAAGCCAGGCCAACCCGTCAGGCTACCCAGCCCATGAACAAGTCTAGCTACCACTACCACTAAACCCAATAGAAAAAGTAGAAAAGCCAGGATTCCAAGGACAGAAAGTCGAAACCCAACCCATGCAAAAATGTGGGCTGAGTTTGTTCATATTGATACTTGTGTTGGGCTTAGCCAAGTTGCACCCCTAGTCCCTTGCATGGGTGTTTAGCATCGGTGCTAGAAACATCACACAGTTTTTTGAGAAAACGGTGCTATGAATGTGGATTTATAAGCACCTTGTTTGAAACTAGTGCTAACACATAGGCTGTTTCTGAGAAAATAGCACTAGCTTTGTTGGGTACTAGTGTTGGTAGTAACGTTTTCAACATGGTCTATATTATCCAACGTCCAAGATGATAGATGCCACAT